TAAAAGAAAAACACAGGCCAAGCACAACTTCACACTATTCTGCTTGCTCCTATCATCCGAAAAAAGGGAAGTAACTAAGAAATAAGAGGTAAGGCTAATAGCATTCCAGCAGCTGCACACAGCTTCAACCTATCCCTCTTCTACAAAACTTAATTTGTTGTAAGTTAAACAAGAAATCATTAACAGAGAAAGGCAGCTTTGGGTCAGCAGCTCTAACCCACATGGCAGTCCTGGATTTAATTAGATCACATAGACCATGCAGATCTGGTTGTCTATCAGAGAACAGCACCTCATTCTTGTGTTTCCAAATAGACCACAAGGATGCTATAAGCAACACATTCCAAACTTTTCTCTCAAAACTATTACCTGAAAACCCGGCCCAAAACTGTAAAACTCCATCTACTGTTGCCGGCATAACCCACTGAGATCCCCACCAGAGAAGTATATCAGCCCACACCTTCCAAACAAAAGGACACCACAACAGAACATGATTGACAGCCTCTACTTCAGCTTTACAAAACACACATTGGATATTAGCAATAACTGGAATGACACCAATCTGCTGAAGGAAAGATGACGTTTTTAACATTTGTCTCCAAGCTAGCCACACAAACGCTTTAGCTCTAGGAGTCGAGACATTCTGCCATATCATCTTGGAGATAGTACCATAGTCATTAGATTTTAGACTATTCTCACACCACCTATATGCAGATGAGACGCTAAAGCAGCCCGAGTTTTCAGTCCCCCAACAAAAACCATCAACCTTATCAGCTCTCAATTCATGATTGGCTGCATGTTCATTTGGCATGAAGTTTACGTTTGTATACACTGGTTGGGAAGATAGTGCACACGATTCATGAATTTTCCTAGAAGCACTTACCACAAATTCTGCTGACTTTCCACACCCACCACCTAGTAAGTGTATTTGTTTTTAATTTAGAGTTTTCCTTTTTCTCACACCCAAATATGGCATGACATGTTCTTACTGAAAGAGTTTTCCTGTAGACAAGTATTATCTCATTGACGCCGGGTATACACACACGCGCGGGTACGTAGCCCCATATCGTGGCCAAAAATACCATTTGCAAGAGTTCAATAGGCGGCGTCGCTACCATGGTCCACAGGAGTTGTTCAACCATAGACATTCTTCTTTGAGGAATGTTATAGAAAGAACCTTTGGAGTGTTGAAGCAACGGTTTCCATTATTGAGACACATGCCAAGGTATGATATGGTACGACAAGGGCCAATCGTTATGGCATGTTATGTTCTCCACAATTGGATCCGGACAGTGCAAGAGCAGGATGAATTTTTCGATGCAGAAGAATCAAGTAATGAAGATGAAGATGACGTTGAAGACGAAGATGAAGATGAAGATGAAGGTGAAGATGGAGGTGAAGGTGCAAGTCAAGTTCAGGGTGAAGTTGGAGTTCAAAATGTCCACGGAAATGAAGATGGAGTACCAGCTATGCAACAACACAACCATGTGAACATGTCACGTGAACAACTAGTGTAGATGGGACAATGACGATATGAGGTTGCAGCATCTATGTGAGAGGCATACAACAATAGGTATATGATAACAAGTAGGTAGATTCTTTTTGGTAATTGGAAAAAATGAAGCACATAATCAAAGTAGGTTAATGTTTCAAACTTCACATTATATTTGTATTTCTTGTATATATTTGAAAATGGGATTGCTAACTCAAAAGCCATATGCAGATGAAGCCAACGTGTGGTGCGGCTGCTGCAATCAAATTCACTGTGGTGCTGTTCTGAATCTGTGTCTTCTTTATCTGGGTGATGTTCTGTATCCATTTGTTGAAGTCTGTGTTGCTGTGTTGCTGGCAAATTAGTGAAACAGTGGATAGTTGTGATCAGATTAATTTTAAATTTGTTGTGTTGCTGGCAAGTCTGTGTTGCTGTGTTCTGAATCTGTATTTTAAATTCAGATACTATAATTGGTGAATCTGTATTTTAAATTTAGATGCAATGGTGAATCTGTATTTTATATTTAGATGCTGTAACTGGAACAATCCCGTCTCTGTGTGTTCTGAATCTGTAACTGGAACAGATGCTTGTCTGTGTATGTTAAGTTTGCATTATGCTGCTTTCTGTTTTTTGGTCTGGGAACAGATGCATCTGTGTGTTCTAAATGTGTGTTTACATATTTAGATCCATTTTTACATGTTTTTACAGAAGGCCTTAATTGGGTGCTTTAATAGATTCTGTTAGTCTTCATCCCTTGACACTGGTTTGGTATGTTGTTAGTGTGGTAACAGGTACTGTGTTCATTCTAGTTTGGTAACTGGGTTATCCTTCATCACATTATAGAGTTCGGTGGTTTATTTGAAAGGAGCATTTGGTAGGAGCAGTAGAACGAATCTGCATTGCTTGTCATCTCGTTCAACATTTTAAATGTATCATAAAGATCTGAACACTTTGCATACATTGAAAGTAAAGTGTTACACACTGCTATACCTAAATCAAAACCCACTTTGATAAGGTATGGCTGTATCTGCATGCCTTGATTTAGGGTAACTGGACTTGTGTAGGCACAAAGCAGGGAGCGAACTATGATATCATCTGGGGTCAATGCCAGATGCCTCATCTGAGAAAAAAACAGCATGGCTTCGTCTGCATCACCACCATACGCAAACCCTGCAATGATTGCATTCCAATACACTAAATCAAGCCTCTCTATGTGATAGAAAGCTGTTTTTGCAAAATCCAATAGACCACATTTTGCATAGATTTCACTGAGCGAGCAAACTGCAAAAGTGTCTCTCCCTAGCCCAAATTTTGTAATCATCCCATAGATCTGCCTCCCACATTCTGGTTGCAGGAGACTGCCACAAACACTAAAAGCACTACCAAAAACAAATTCATTTGGCTGATAAACACCTTGAGACAGCATTTCTTTAAAATGGCTCAATGCTTCTAACTCATAACCAAGTTGTAAAAAGCACGCAATCATTGAACTCCATGAAATGAAATCCTTTTTTTTAATACCAGAAAACACATCCAATGCATCAGCAATTTGACCAAATTTTGTGTACATTGCAATCAAAGCATTTTGTGCAATAAGGTGGGAACCAAATTCTGATTTAATGACATGAACATGCAACTGCCTCCCTAGCTCAATGGAACTCAAACTTGAGCAAGATCTTATTATGCTTCCAAAGGTGAACTGATCTGGCATAAGGCCAGATTTTTGCATTAGAAAATACAGCTTTATTGCATGAATTTCTTGACCATGCTGTGAGTATCCATCAATTTCATTCTAATCTGTGCTGTTTTGCTTCATTCTCAAAAAAAAAAAAAAAAGAAAGAAAAAAAAAACATGTTTACATAATTAGGGGTGTTTGTATTTTGTGTTTTTGAAAAAACCAACCAAACGGATTTCTGAGAATTTGTTTTGAAAAGTGATCCTGAAAAAAGACAACCAAACACATTTCTGAGAATTTTTTTTGGGAAAATCTGTTTGGTTTGATTACTCCCAGAAATGTGTTTTCAGAGAAGGTTTCAGAAAATTGTTTCTGAAAAACAAACCAAACAAGGCTAGAGAGTTTCTTGGAGATATTTTATTTTATTATTTTTGACAAAAGTGTATATAGCCAAAATAGAAAAAGTAATTTCATAACTAAAATATATTAAAATTTAACTAGTATAACAGAGATCTTCTAACAAACTTCCCCAGATCATCTTGTTTGGGGTAAAGGTAAAAAAAAATTGTTTTTTTGGCTAAAATAAGCCAAAAAGTCAAACAACAATGCTAGAGGGTCACAATTTTTGTGGCCACAATGGCTCAAAACTGTCAAAACGACGTCGTTTTAGCATGTTTTGCACCCAAAACGACGTCGTTTTGGCAGTTTTGAGCCATTATGGCCACAAAAATTGTGGCCCTCAAACATTTTCCAAAGTCAAAAGTCCATTTGTTCTCAGCGGAAAAAAAAAAAAAACTAAGAATCCACTCACAAAAGAGTAAAATTTTTTTTACAACTTCCTAAATGCTTCAGCTTTTTTAAATTTTAAAAAACATAAAACAAAAAAAGCAAACAAATGTTGCAAATTCCCACATTCTACTCATCATGCACACAATTCTTCTTGTAGGCACATTGGTTTTCCTTTTGGGGGCTATCACGTGTTTATGATTGTTAGTTTTACTACAAACACAAAAATTCAATGCCTTGTGAAAAATCTAGAAATCCCCTAGATGTTGATTTGTGATTATGTATCAATTTTAAGTAGAATATAACAATCCCAATCAAACAATCAAGACAAAGAGACACAACGATTTTACGTGGAAAAACCACAATTGGACACCTCCAACTGTGATCAAAAAACCACGGGCAACAGCCATAAGACAATCCACTGAGAAGAATTAAAGGAATTACACAGGTATACTCTCAATTACCTAGCGAATCCACAACGCCTAATTGAACCAACCTCTATGTGCCTCTTCCAACCCCATCTTCACCACGGAATTGTCTTTCTGATGAGCCACTCCGGATTCCACCAAAGCTTCAAGCTCGAATTCTTCAGAATCCACAACTGAAGAACAACTCTCTCTTTTGTGTATAACAAACAAACCTTTGATGTACTCTCTTTAAATCATGAGTTGAAAACTCAATAAAAACATCAAAGAAAACTCAAAAAATATCCCCAGATATAAACCCTAAAACCCAAAAAGAAGATCTGGAGAAGTTATCCTAAAATATGACCCAACGCGCGAATTTATAGAATCTGTCCCGCGATCTCCGCTCGAGCACCCAACAGCCCGCTCGAGCGTCTTCAGCAAAATATGCGCGTGCTATAACAGAGGTCCGCTCGAGCGCTAGAAAGCCCGCTCGAGCGCGAAATCACACATCTCAGCTCGATCCCCGTCATAATCAGCGAAGTGGCAATCTTGAAAGCATTAGCGTCACAAACTTCTCTGAAAGGCATAATTTGGGTTGGATTCGCATCTAAACACTCATAGCCTCACTGAAGTAAAAGAGCGAAAATAAATACAACTGAAAGGAGTTTTGTCAACCGGGGTTGCCAAAAATAAAACCTAACACCTTGTTCACACAAATGATTTCTTCTATTGTACAAAATACCTTATCAGTAATTCAGTATATTCATTTAACAAAAATGGCTAGCAATTCAACAACTCATTTACTTCCAAGTAAACATTCAATGTCGTGCCTATCACATAGACAGAAAAATCATTTTTTGAAGGATCTTTCATATAAGATTGAATCAACGATGCACAAACACTAGGCTAAGCCTAACCTGTTGCAGACTTTGCAAGCCAAACAGAAATCTGAAAAGTGATACTCCTGCTCCCTCCATTGCCTCATCTTGATTTGCAATGTTCTGCTCTTGTGGTGGTCCGGTGGTTTTTGAGTATACACCAAACGCATTGTGCCCTGGCTTTGCAAGTTTCACAAAGATCACCCTGCCATCAAAATACTGATACAAGAAAAAGGGCATTATATTAGTTTTTAAAGTTTAAGAAAAAAAATAGACAAAAATCAAGAACAAGACAAGAATAGCTAGTAAAACCTTGTGATCCATGCTTTCTAGAGCTAGCAGGGCATCGTCTTGACTAGTGTACTGAATAAAAGCATACCCCTTTGACCTCTTCGCCTTTTCATCCATAACAAGCTTAACTGTCAGTGAAACTAGATAGAATTAGCAAACTTGAAGCATGTAATGGAACAAATAGGTAGACAGGACACTCTCTTTTTCTTCTTTTCATGAACCAAGGAAAAAAATATATGATTAAGAAGTGTATCTTTATCCAACTCTGCACAGAAAATTGCTGTAAAATGAACTCCCAATCCTAATACTATACCGGACCAGTAGTGCAGCAGAACATCAAAACCAGGCTCTCTCAGCACTGCCTCACTCCATTTTGTAATCCAAGAGCATAACAAACAGATCAGCAATGATGCACAAAATAGATCAGCACATGCTGTAGTACAGATCAGCAATACCAAGCTCTAGTATAAGCAGAAGAACAGCACAGCAAAAGCAAGGCCAATTTGTCACCATTCAAGAATCAAAAAAATCAACAATGTGCAGTGTGCAAGCAAACACACCATATCAATGGCAAATTTTCAATTTCACCAAATAGCCACAGATTATAATTTAAAATAAGAGCAAGTATAACCCAGCTGATAATCCCATATCTCATCTACCATCCCAAAACTAGGCTATTACCCAAAACATGCATGACACTGGTGTCGTCCCCATTAAAGTGAAAAAAATATATATTATCCAAAAGCATCTTATTATGATCGGAAAATAAAGCCACAACCACTACAAGAATATTATATAAGAGCTCGAACGAATGAGATGAACAGGCATACCTGGAGAAAGATAGGAAGCAATGGTTGAAGAGCTTTAGGGAGACATAATCCAGGTATAAGAACTGGCCCTCCCTGCATGCAAGAAAAAGATTAATTTGACTATGCCCCAAAAAAAAATTAGGCCCAAGGAAATTATAGTGATTATGGTTCACAGTGTCATCTACGAGTGATTATTTATACTGCAATAAAACCATACTAACCTTCCTTTTCCTACGCTCTTTATCTCTGGATGTAGAAACTGCATCACGAACTAACTTTATATATGAAGGAAGGACTTCCTTACAATGACAAACCATTGGAGATGTACTTAATAGTTGAATTTAGAGTTCATTTGATATGTATTAAAATAGCACATATTATTAAAAGTTAGTGATAGTAAAATTGTTGTTAAAAATAATTTTTTGTGACAATTTTTTACATATATAATTAAAAATTGGCAATTAATAACTTTTTTTGTCACGATTTATATAAATTGTCGTTAAAACTTACAATTAATGACATTCTTCTGTGACGAATTTTTTGAATTATTGCTGAAACTATCGTTAAAATTTATAATTAGTGATATTTTTTGTGACAATATTCAATCTGTCACTGAAAATTAATAATTTGTGATTTTTTTTAATAGTGTTTGATGAAAAATGCTATTAATTATCACAGGATCTATTGAGTAATAAGTTCACCTATTAGGACCTACACATAAGTATCCGCTAACTTTTTGGGCCAAATCACAAGAAATTTCTTTCTTGTGAATTCCCTAGTTCCGGTATGAATCGCCTACTTTTGACCATATCGATAAGGGAATTAATCAAGATACACGTAAATTGGGTTGAACACCTTTTACCATTAAATCAAAAAAAAATTAATAAATAATTTTTTTTTTTCATATTTTAAATTTAGAACAAATTTTTACCAATTGTTCCACGTTAAAATTTTAACAAATCTTTTAGTAGAGTATTTAGCATTTTTCTTTGTGATAAATACATGTGGTATCTTAATTTGTTATAAGGTTAAAATTTTAGAATCATTCTTTTCTGTTAAAATTATAAGGGACAATTTAGAGTGTTGTTATTATCATTCCATAAATTATTTTGGACCCTTAATTTTTAGTCCTTTTTTTATTATAATAATAACCTCAAATAAAATTACTATAAAAGATATCACTAATTTTGGAACACCCCATCTCACAATTAAACCTACACAATTAAATCCACCTCCATCACCACTCATCCATCTTCCCCAAATCCCACCTTCAAAACCTACCCACCATCAATATCTTGAAAATCATTTGGTGGCAATATTTCGGCGGTAACGGTGGCAATCATTTGATTACCTACACTTTTCTGACAATGACAATAAGTGGAATTTTGTCTAGCAACCACAACTCTATAAGACGAGAGGAGTACAACAATAAAAACATAGAGGAGGTTCATAACTTTGATGTTATTCTTGATTATTATAAAAGTGAAGCACCGTCGTGAGTCTAAGGTATGATTTGATTTGTGATGCTCTTATGCTTTTATTTGTGAAGTTCTTTCTTGTGAGTTTAAGCACAATTTGCTATCTTTGAGAGGTATTGATTACTGACTTGGTTGTCGGAGTGCCCCCAGGTGAATGAACCACCGTCGGATTCTCATATTCTTGTGCAGGTTGTTGGGCTTAATCTATTCTGCTGGTGCTTTCCAGCTGAGTTCCTCATTTGGTTGTGTGGTCAAAAATCAACACCCACAATTTGGCGCCATTTGTGGGAACTTAAGGAGAATAGATAGCCAACAAAGAGCAGAGAGAAAAGATTGGGGACGATGTTCTAAGCGAGAGTAGTAGTAGACATACCGATCCTAACATCGAGGAAGAAAACCATAATGAAGGAGCACGGGATCAGAATCTCGAGGAGAAAGATGTCAGCAAAGAAGGAGAAGGGAACTAGCTAGAAATAGCTCAGGGAAAGCACAGAGACGAGACCAGAAGAGAAAAAGAAAAAGGGGTCAAAGAGGCTAGCACATATAGCCTTGAGGCTGAACAGAGTAATAAAGCTGATACACCAATGCTTCCCTCTAGTCACTGTCCCGCAACTACTACTTCTACCAATCCCTCACATAGCCACCCTACCAACCCCTCACATATACATCATACCAACCCCTTACACACCACCCATGCTATCTCTTCCATAACCCCCCCTCATTAGGGAAATAAAGTCTAGACCCAAGTTCAGAGAGCCACCAGACAAAAATGGAGGAAGAAAAGGTCGAGAATTATCCAATGGAGCATCACAGGTTGAATCAATACCGAGTTTTGCTGATACTAACCCCAGAGAAAGAAGTGTTTCATCACCTCAAAATGGTGGATGGAGAAGTAAACATGAGGATCCAACCATGTAGACAGATAGAAGTACGTCAGGAGAGATACTATGTCTCAATAACTCCCTCATTGTCAATGGAAGTTAATCATAGCAGAGCAAGGGGTTTTTTGGACTTTCCAGTCCAGATCCCTCTTCTCCAACTCAATCAGTCAAGTATGGATTTATTGATTTGGAATTGCAGAGGAACAAATAACAAACGTTTTAAGAGGAATATGAGAGAACTAGTTCAGATTCACAAGCCTGATTTAATAGTTCTTATGGAGACCAAAGTGGAGTTTAGCTCTATGGGCACGTTCTTCAATAGAATGGGGTTCACCACTTTAGCTCATGTGGACCCTATTGGAAGGAGTGAGGGAATCTAAATGGTTTGGAACCCCAGTGTTGTGAATGTAAGAGTAACTAAGGCAAGTTACCAACTGATAATTGCTAGAATATCTAGGCAAAATTACTGTGACTGAATATTGTCAATAGTCGATGCAAGTCCTAGCACTAACAAGAGAGATGAACTGTGGCAAAATCTTGAAGATATTGCCCAAACCATGTCTAAGCCTTGGCTTTTAGTTAGGGATTTCAACGACTATGCTACTCAAACAGAGAAGAGAAGCTTACTTGGGGGGTCAAAACCAAAGCCAGAGCCAAGACCAGAGAAGAACCAAAAAATTATTGGACAGAATAAATAGCTGCAACTTGATGGATTTGGGATGTACAGGGCCCAGGTTAACTTGGACAAACAACAGGAAAGGGTGGGCGAATACCATGTTAAGGTTAGATAGAGTTATGTGCAATACAGAATAGAGGTCTACCTTTCTTGAAGGTCTGGTTCAAAATCTACCTTATACCTACTCTGATTATTCACCGTTGATGATTTTCACCCAAGGTAAGGCTTCTTCTAATCCTAGATCTAAATCTTTTAAATGTATTGTTGCTTGGATTTCTCATGATGAATTCAAGTCTGTGGTGGAGAGCAATTGGGCTAACTCACCCCCTTCTTTTATGGATAAACTGGAGAAACTAGCTTTTAAGGCTAGTGAGTGGAATAAAGATAAGTTTGGGAATCTTTTTAGAAATAAAAGGTGGTTGCTAGGGAGGATTGGGGGCATTCAGAAATCCCAAAATTATAATTATTCCCACAACCTCCATCTTCTGGAGATGGATCTTATTGAGCAGTACAATAAAATCCTCTATCAAGAGAAGCTACTATGGTTTCAAAAGTCTAGATCCAATTGGATTACCTAGAGGGATAGAAACACCAAGTTCTTCCACTTGTCCACCTTGACCAAAAGGAGGAAATGCAAAATTAAGACTCTCATGA